CCTAGCAACATAGTTTTGCGGGGTATTGGACCAGGACGTCGGCCGCCGCAACTTGAGACCATTGCTCCTTGTTCTGTCGTCTGCCACCACTGAGAACAGCCGAGCTCCATCCTCTTTGGAACCCCCCTTCAGGTAGTTGAAGGCTGCTATCAAATCCCCCCTCATTCTTCTCTTCTGGAGACTAAACAATCCCAGTTCCCTCAGCCTCTCCTCATAAGTCATGTGCTCCAGACCCCTAATCATTAAATGCAGGCTCCCAGGACCGCTCTTCTAGGCCATAGCCCTCTCAGTCTATGAGGTACCAGAGGGAGCCATGTTGAATTTTTTTTTTAGTCCAGTATCTCATTAACCTCATACTCATGTCCTTGGACCCGCACTGGAGGGGGTAGTTGTTGAGGCCGATGAGGGAAGGGGTTGTCAATGTAGGGTTTTAAGCAGGGATATATGAAACACTGGATGTACTCTGAGGGACCTGTAATATTGGAGCTTTATGGTCACTGGGTTAATTACCATGGTCTGACATATTGATCCAGTTTAGGACACGGCCAGTTGGCAAGGAGGTTTTGGGCTTTAAACCACACTTTGTCCGATGATGAATGCTGGGCCTCCCTGGCACTGACAGCATACCATTTGTAGATCCTCCTTGTCCTTGTCCAGAGAGGCTAAGAGTTCCTCTTGCACCTCGTGGATCTGTTGCACCCAGTCAGCAGCTGTAGCATTGGTACAGTTGACAGGTATGGGTGGGTGGAGACGGGTAGAAACCAGAGTTTGCCTAGATAGGGTCAGCCCTGCTGGTGGAGACATATAAGCAAAGTCCACATGGAGTAGGAGACTTGACCAATTATCCTTGTGGAAGTTTGTGAAGCAGCGCAAGTATTGTTCTAACATTCGATTTGCTTGTTCTGACTGATCATCAGTCTGTGGGTGGTAAGCAGTTGATGTGGAAGTGCAGACCCCAAGCAATTGTAAGGTTTCACACCAAAACCGTAATACAAACTGTGAACCCTGATCAGTTGTTTCTGCAGGGTGGGCAGCGCTGGGCGGGCTTGTTGTGTTTCGGGGGGGCTGGGTGGTGTGGGGGGGGTTTCGACGGGGCCAGGGGGGTTCGGCCCTCAGCTGTTTTCTTTGGAGTAATATGGCCCTCGCCGCTTTACGAGTTGTGCAGGCCTGTCATACAGGAATCAATATATGAGTGGATGGTAGTGCACAGTTGAGGCTACCAGAAGGAGCAGGTGGCCAGAGAGTCTTGAGGCGACCCAGATGGCCCACTAATGGTTAGCCATGACAGAGCCATAGCACCTCTAACTGAGAGGGTCCTGGTGGAACATACAAGTGGCCCTTAATATAGTGCAAACTATCCTGGACCCAGTGTTGCCCCTGGCTTGCTGCCTCGAGTTCGTTGCAAAGGGGCTCTTTCCCTGTAGCTGAGTGGATCAGTGATATTAGGTCTTGAGGAATCATAACATCCAGGAAATTCTGGAGCTTAAGAATCCATGGGAACTCCATGTGAGGGGCTGTGGGCTGGCGAGATATTCCCCTTTTCAGGGCAAGGCATCAGCAGTCTTGTTCTGGGGCCCCAGGTGGTACATGATGGTGAAATTGAAGCATGTGAAGAATAGTGCCCTCTTTCAAAACACTCTCTCAGTGTAGATACTCTACGTTTTTATGATCAGTGTATAGCTGTACTGTACACCCTCCAGATAGTGGCGCCATTCTTCAAATGCCACTTTCATGGCTAGGAGCTCTTTACTAGGAGTTCATAGTTTTGTTTGGCCAGAGTGAGCTTCCGTGAATAGCACTTGTAAGAGTGGAGGTGCTCCTGGGGACCATGTCTTTGGGAGAGCATGGCCCCCAATTGCCATATTGAAGGTATCGGTCTCAACGATGAAGGGTCGTGCTGGGTCTGGATGGACCAGGATTGTGGCACTGGTAAAGATTGTCTTGAGCCGGTCAAATGCTTCTGGGCCTGCGGAGACCAAGTGAATGTGGTGCCCTTGCGGAGAAGTGTTGTCAAGGGGGCTATTTGACTTGAAAACCCAGAGATGAAATGCCTATAAAAGTTACAACACTTCCTGGGATTTGCTAACTCCTCGATGTTTTTGGGGACAGCTATGTCTGTACTACCTCTTCCTTCTTGAGGGGACAGGATGTAGGCCAGGAACTCCATAGAGCACTGATCAAAGCTGCATTTTTCCCTCTTTGCATACAGGCCATGCTGGTGGAGCCATGCTTGGTGTGTTGCTCAGGATCCTCTACAAATATTAGGATATCATCTAAATAGACTACAATGTACGTCTTAGCATATGCTCAACATTCCTGAGGTGGCATGTAACCATGCTTCATCACCGAATTTGGTCTGCTGGTTGGATCATTAACTTCCCCAGCTTGGGCTGGGTATTTATGGGGAGTGCGACGTGAACACTGACACATGCCCTGATCCAGGATGTCATGGAAGACCTCATTGAAAGTGCTGGAATGTTTCAGATGCATTTGTGAGGCCAAACAGCATTGCCAGGTATTCATAGTGGCCAGAACAGGTTTGAAAAGCCATCTTCCACTCATCTCCCAGCTTGGATCTGAATAAGGCTGTAGGCCCCATGCATGTTGAATTTCGTGAATACGTGGGCCAACTGCACATGGTCCAGTAGCTCTGGGGTGATGGTAACTGAGGGCCTGGTAATCCACGCATAGGCATAAGGTTCCATCTTTCTCCTTAACGAATAGGCCGAGGGCTCGAACAGGAGAGGAGGAGAGGTGTATAAAGCCTTTGGCCTCTCTCCTGGAGATAGGAATGCGTGGCAGCCAGCTCGGGTTCCAACATCGTGTAGCTGCGGCCAAGTGGTATGTTGGCCCCTGGTTGCAGCTCAATCGGGCAGTTGTAATCCTGGTGTGGTGATAGGGTGTCAGCATTCTTTTTTCTCTCAAAGATGTCACTGTAGTCACCATATTTGGGGAGCAGCACTGGAGTCAGCTCTAGTGGTGGTCCCATCTGACCCACCACCAAGGCATGGGGGGTGGGGGCATAGGCAGACTTGCTGGCAGAACTTGGAGCAGAAGCTAACGTGGTGCTCATGCCAAAGGGAGTGGGGTTCATGAGCCACTAACCATGAAATGCCAAGGAGTAGGGGGAAGTGTGGTGAACGGATCATCCCAAACTAGAGGGTCTCCCGATGGTTCCAGATGGCAAACTTCCAGAGGTACTGCATCACTGGCCCCAATGACAGGAGGGAGCCATCTATAGATTCCACCAGGTCAAGGACAGTCTTTGGTTGAACCAGAATACTCAGGGCTTGG